TACATTGTATACATTATTATAATTATCAATTATTTGTTTAATTATATCTATTATTACTAAATCTCACTAAGTTTAACTAGTTTTAAGTTATATCCTTCCATCTATCAACCTGTATCTTTCCAATAACAAAACAATCTTGTATCTTCTGCCATTGTATTTTAACTCAGATATTTATACATGTTGCCCTTAAACCTCCAATTTTTATTTGACTATAATTGAACATCCTCATCATAAAATATACCCAGATTTAATACATAACCACATATTGGAATTTCATTTAATATTTCTAAAATCCTCCAATAGCACTGAATCCTTATGTCCTATTCTAACTAGACATCTATAATATTTAATAATTCTTCATCAATTATTAAAAGCCTTTAGGGCAGCGTCCCCAAAATGGTTTGTGTGGGCTGCAACGTCTTTTAAGGACCAACACACAGGACTGGCAATTGGGGGGGGGGGGGGCTGCAGACACCGAGCGTTAATGTTTCTGCTTAGACGATATTACTGAGCTCCAAAATTACTTATTTCGTTTTATGAAAAGAAGTTTTAATTTTGAGAAGCAAGCACCCGATGTTGCATGAAATTGACAAAAAGGTTGTGCGCCTGTCTGTCAGAAGGGGGATAAGGAGATCACATGACCCTGGGACACTGCAAACCAACGTAAATGTGCATCAGTTGCCAAGCGTCGGAATTTTAATTCAACCTGAATCACTTTTTTTAGCGCCGTTGTAACTTTCGAACGGTTGCTAAATGAACTGTTGTTAAGATGAGGACTATCTGTAAGCCAACTATCAACCACAGCAGCTTTACAGAAACGGCAACAAGATGGACAGAAACTAGCCTCTTCTTCCTCGCTGAGATGCTCCCCTGGTGGAGGGGTTCTGTCCTCTGCCTCTCGCCCGACCTCTCTTTCTACCCCAGCTGGGAGGTAAAGAATCGTCTGACTCATCATTGACTCTTTGGTCCAAGGGGGCCTCATCCACGAGGTCATCATCACTCATCGTCGAAGTATGACCGGTCGCCTGAGACCTGGCCTTGGCCCTGTTGATAGCCTGAGGGAAAGAGAAGCAGGGTGACAGGGTTCCAAATAGCATCCAAAATTAAATCAGAGTCCAAGGCAAAGTATTCCTCAAAGTTCCAATTTATTAAGAGAGCCATGTTGGCACATCTGGGGAAACCCGAATCTGAAAGCTTCCTGGTTTTCCCATCTAGTTGAAAGTTCAAGATCTTGCCCCTATACCCACAAGCCCATCACATAGTCCAATCTCCCACTGCCATGCTGGCAGTTCCACCCATCCAGTTCCAGTCAGGTCCAAAGGTGCAGAGACAAAGGATGACCTTGGCTTTCTAGAAAGAATGTTGTTATGGCTACATATCATCTAACTCCCTACAATTCCCCCTCCCATTTCCCCACAATAGAAAATGCATAGAAGAATAGGCAGGATGGCAGGCCAAAGACCCAAAAGAAAA